AGCATGCTTGATCATTTGTTCTTATCTATGATTTTATTGATTAATTGTTTTTTATTAAAATATGTCCTTTAATATAACTTTTTTCTTCTCTTTCTTTTCAGAAGCTTCAATGGGCAGCAACTCAGTTCTTGCAAATGTACCACCCCCATCTGCCTTACCATCCTTCGTAGCCTCTCCACGCCCACCTGCTCCTACAGGCCTCCCATCCAATGCAATGCCTAATCCACTGTCTGGCCCACCTCCTGGACTCACCCCACCTCAGGGCTCCATGTCTGTTCAACCACCAAGCACAGTACCGTATTCCTCCAGTATTACCACGGTGGTAGGGTCATCCATGGGTGCACCTATTCCTTCCCCAGGGAATGTGCCCCAGTATCCGGGGGCACCCGGCAGTGGTCCGACTCCACCCCCTGCAGCGGTGCGTGGGCCATCTCCTCCAATATCTGCCTCTAGTGGTTCAGTGCCACCTCCTGGAGGCCCTCAGCTGGCTCCACCCATAGCAAGTGCAACACCACCTGTTTCATTCACATCATCGAGCTCCAACCCTCCCATCACCAGTCAGCCAGTGGCTCCTGCTGTGTAAGTCATTACATGATACATAAAAAAGAGAATAGCATGGTTATGATATACTGTATTAGATTTGAAAAATGTACTTGACTTCAGTATTCTGAAATTATGTGATTTATAGTTACTATGAGTCTTCATTTATTTTATATTATGAGATGTTCAGCTGATAAAGATTGCCTCAAATCAGACTTTCCCTTGTTGATATTGAATGTGAATTTTATTTTCTTAGTTTTCTATCATTCTTGTACAACCACAGAGTCTTGAAAAGCTCTTCTTTTCCTATCCATTAGCAGGCAGAACAGTATCACTGTGAACACAAAAGGTCACTCACGCCATCATAGTTACCCCCTTTATGTGCCAGGAAACCCAATGCATAATCCCCCTCCTGCCCCAACCCCTCCTCGCTTGGATGTTCATCAGGAACAGCTGTCTCCCTTCTCCATGAGCAAATCCTACAATCACTTAGATAGCTACACTGACATGTACACAGGGGAGGGCTATTATTCGCATGATGCTAGAAGTGTACATATGAACATTGGAACAAGTAACGTAAGCTATGGATGTGGTTACCCTTCCTTCAGCCAAGGTAGTGTAGATGCTTCTGCTGCAGTTGATCTTGGTTCACCTGGTGTAGGAGGACCTGCAGGAAGTAAAGGCAGTTGGCTGGGGTGGATCCGTGGCACTGTGTCCAACGTCGGTCATCGGGTGGCAGAGAAGGCCAAGAATTCCATGGACACCATGATCACTACTTTGGACCCACAGATGAAGGAATTCATTCGTAAGTATATATTGATGAAGTTGGTGTTTATGTGATATTACCTTAAAATTTTGATATGATCACATCCTTGTCATATACTAAAAATATATTTTTCTCTGGTGTTTGGCGAGATTTTTTTTAAAGCATATAGAGGTATCAGAGAGAGAAAAAAAGAAAACACAGATGTAAATGTTTGACTGTAGTTTGATGTTTCACTAGATTCTGGTGGAGATATGGACATCATAGTAGCCTCAGACAAGGAAGTGAAAGTAGGAGCAGTGAGAGAGGCCTTCCAACAAATCTTTGGCAAGGCTACAGTAAGGTATGTAGTATGTTTGCATTAATTATTATAATAAAGATATGTTATATTTCCATTTCAAGGATGTTGACATGATGTACATGACGTGAAATAAGATCAGATATTTATGGTATTTATTCTATGAGGTTGGGTAAAAAAGAGAGTTTTCCATTTGACATTTGGATTTCCATGATATGAGGGACTTTTAGTCGTAAAGAATATAGCTTAAAAAGTGTCATGGCACTTTTTTTTTTTTTTTTTTTTTTTTTTTTTTTTTTTCAGTGGTATGCCAGCCTCTGTAGAAGGCATAGCAAATCAACCAGTTGGATTTGAAGCTGCCCTCCAATCTGCCGAGGGGCGAATTAACTCTCTCAGATCCTCAGGCAGGGTGCATCCACAACAGCCTATTGTTGCTGTAGAGAATTTTATTGCTGAATTCACTCCAGACTGGTGAGTGTTTTTCTTTATTTTGTTTATGAGTATATTGAATTATTATGACAAGTTCATTCATGCCCAGTCATTGTGGAATGAATTTACTCCAGACTAGTGAGTGTTTTTTTTATTTATGAGTTTATTGAATTATTATGACAAGTTCATTCATGCCCAGTCATTATGTAGAATAAACAATTTCATAATTTAGTGTTGAGTTATAAATTCCAAATATATCAAGGTTTAGAAGCTATCCTCTGTTATCCGGTGATGCCATTTGAGATATCCTATTAGAGCAATATATGCTTTGGTGTTGTTATATCTGAGTTGGCAGGTTTCAATAATTAAAGCATATGGGAATAAAGGGTAATGAAAAAGTGGATTTACAGGCAACATAATGTAATATGTCGTGTTTAAAAAAATAACAGCCTAGATATGGGTATGCTATGAACTGATATTTATGCCATATTTCTGTAGTATCATTACATGTGCAGTTGATATTGTTTGTATTTTTTTTTTCTATAAATGTATATCTAGAACTTCATTGTTGCTGTAATAGAGGGAGTAATGTTATTATGATCTTCATCATGAGAACTGTTATGTGTGTTATCTGATGACTGAGTTATTACTATGTTTTTAGGGGAGTTGTTATCTGTCTGTACAATATCAGATATAGTCAGTGGTTGCATAAAAAAAAAAGTGAATGTTCCAAGTATTCTCTTGATGGATAAAAGAGATGAGAACAGTGGTTTCATAAAAACGGGGAGTATTGATCAAGTATTTTATTGATGAATAAAGGAAATGAGAACAGCCTTTAACCCATTAGATCCGGTTGGGTCACAGAAATCACAGGGCAGAAAATATGGGCAGTGGATTACATAAGTGAGCAATATCCCAGGTGATGATAAGACTCTGTGCCTCCCCTTTGCAAAGTTATTTTGTGTAATTTTTAGATTTTTTAGATTTTGAATTTTTTGCCATTTACCAATGTCCTTAATTCTTCTGGTATGCATCATCCAGATGGTAATAGATTATTATACTTGCACAGACTCCATATCATTTCTTTATGTAAAAATTAAGTTGGTGCAAGAAAAGAAAATGTAATTGATTACTTATGTTATATATATTTTTTGTTATTCATAATTTTATGTAGTACAGTCTAAAGCGGCCAGGAATATGATGCTGAGCATGAAAATGGCGTCTTCCCTGGAGCTGACACTCTTTCAGTCGCAGCTTATGCACATTACATTCTATACTTGTTTATCAATGGGAATAATGCAAAAAACAAACAAAAAAAAACTAAATGCCAAATGAGTCAAATCACTCTCCAAGAAATTTGTGCCCTCATGGCGAGTCTTTTTCATCACTCTGGCCTTCACTCATGACAGCTAGTTTGCATCACCTTTAGCATTATTCCCATCAATAAATGAATGGTGAATGTAACATGTGTAAGCCATGACTAGAAGAGTGCTGGCTCTAGGGAGGATGCCATTTCCATGCTGTGCACTGTAATCCTGGCTGCAGTGGCCTGTGGGGCAGGTTGTATTACGGGAAAGTGAAAATTACGAAAAAATAAGATATTTGACACAAATAACCAAATGTTCCATATTGTTTTTTCTTGCACTGAGTTATTTACTACATAGAGAGATGATATGGAGTCAGCACAAGGAAAATAAGCTATTACCTGACTCGTGTCACCGCTCTTGTGTGTTTGCCCGCGCCTGACCTACACACCACAACCTCAGGATGTTGGCTGCTTGAGTAACCCACTGCCCATGTTTTCCACACCATGATTCCCATCATGCAATCCGATCCAACGGGTTAGCATGATGGTCCCTCCTTTGTGTAAGTGTGTATGTGTGCATGTGTTTATGCTTATGTGTCTGTTTCCTGTGTCTTGGCTTTACCAAGGCAACAGCTGTTTTTATATAAATTTGTCAATCAATATTGATTTTGTTTTTAGCTGGTATGATCTTGGAGTATTATTGCTTGATGATCCTGGAGAAGATATTATCCTGCAAACCTATACCCAGGTCAGTTTTATTTAATGTCTAATGTAAATAAGAATGTTATTGAAGAGAAGGGTCTTTCTTTAAATTTATTATACTTTGGTCTCTTGCCAATATGTTTTACTTCAGTACAATGAGATGCTTTATACTAACCCACTTTAAAAATGATTACAGGTAACTCCAATTCCTCCTGGCTTTGTCGAGCAAGCCCGTGCTGCTACTGCAGATGACTATCCTTACAAAAACACTGGCTTTTCCACCACCATTGGACAGATTGCAAGCCAGAATCTTCAGGTAATTTTATGAATCCTTTTTTTTTCCATTGATACACAATACTGGAAGTACTACCCAAGGGGTCTCTTACAAACTCAAATTTTCAATAGCACAATTCTTTGGTCTGAATGAAATTATATATGCTTGATTCACAAAAATCCAACTTGATTTAGCATACTTGTGTGTATCCATTCCTATCCCATCCCAGTAACATTCAGATGAAATGGAAGGTTTAAGGGGACCATCCCTGATGGAGGGGGGGGAAGGGGTTTAAATTGAGTTTGTTAGCGTATAGTATAGGTACATGGATGAGGAAACTACCAAACGAGTATTAAGCGCCTGCTATGGCTCGTTGTCTTGCAGCCGGCGTGCGAGTCCCTCAGCACCCGGAGAGGTACGTCGCTAATGAGCGCCCAGGTACACTTATGTGGACTTTTGCTTGCGGCAATCGTGCTTAAGGCATTTAATTATGACATTGCGCATAGATATGAGTTCGTGAATGTTCAAGGAACACTTTTATACCAATATCAGGAAAAAATTATATCACCGTGATTTATGACGAAATATTTTGTCAAATATATCTAAAAAAAATGTAAGTTGTGTCCTTTTACACACGAAATATGCTTCGATCGAGATTCCCTCGTAATATGTTTTAGTTTACGAGGTAATATATACGTATATCTCATACGAAGCACTAATGTATAAAAATAGCCTTATAAGGAAGGATTGAAATATTTCGTGACATTTCGCTCAATGGTCGGTACATCACAGCAGGGGGCAATTTAAATTGATTTGAAATGGGTAGTTACCGTTGTAAAGACCAATTCAATACGAATGTTACCTAAATGTCAGATTTTTAAACTTCGGATGTATAAGCGAGATACAGATTATTTCATGTTGAAGATGATAGTACTCAGTAATACCTGCTCTGAAATAAAAACTATATGGAATTTTCAGCTCAGTTGTATATGTAGTCTTCGTCTGGTGTTCAAAAAGCTATCGCATCCGTTTCGTGTGTTCCCGATAAAAATGAATATGTTTAGACATAACCGTAAGTCTTAGGCACCATAAATTAGCAAATATCCCACACCTTGGTTTCTGCATGATTTTATGCACTTCTTAGTAAAGATAATGGGTGCAAAATGCTAATCATAAACTTTACACTTGTTCTCCTTTGCAATCTGTTAATATTGACAATTACTGAAGAAAATGGTATGAGAGGGATAACTAATATATTTTATTATTTAGATATGAAAGTCAATGTAGGCCTACTAAATGATGATGATTAATCTTTTTAACTTTAAGTGCGTGCATTCACGTACATATGATCCTCCTTGAAAATTATAAACACCCAGTGACCATCTCCTCCTCCTCCTCCTCCTCCTCCTCCTCTCCTCCTCCTCCTCTCCTCCTCCCTCCTCCTCCTCCTCCTCCTCCTCCTCCTCCTCCTCCTCCTCCTCCTCCTCCTCCCCCCCCCCCCCCCAGACTAGGGTTGATCTAACACAAGTATTTTGGGGGGAATATTGAGTAAAGAACTGTGATAGTTGGGATGTACCGAAGACATGCCAAAAAAAAAAAAAAATTTTTTTTTACTTTTTGGGGGGTGCCCTCCCAATGGGGGAGCAAAGTTAAAATTTATATATATAACGGAGCGCAATTCTTTACTCTATATCATGCAAAAAGAATCAATCAGTTATCTCTAACCGATATTTTTTTATGATGTAAAGAGTAGGGAAAGGTGGCCATTTTCCGGGACGGTCCCCTTAAGTATTAGTCAGGTATAATAGTGGATGGCGAGTTTCATTGAATTATTTATTTACTCTACAGAGACTGAACGATATTGCTGTATATTTTAAGAATGATAGCATCAAATCATTACTTGTTAGTATTTTTCTATTAATTTTTTATTATTTATTAATTAAGTAATCGTTATTTTAATCGTGATTTGCTCTGTTTCCCCTTTCATACATGCTATAGCAGGGGTGTCAAACACGCGGCCCATGGTGGTCCTTTACACACCTATGTGCAGCACATTGCAGACCACTGGACATTTGCTATTTCAGTCTTACAGTCAGCCATTTTACATGATTAATTAAACCAGGTTATCACTTACACTTTTACCTTTTTTTTTATCATCATCTTCAGCATCATTATACTGCATTAGAATATGGTTTTGATGAACTCATGATATTATTATTTTTAATGTTAATGGAAATACACAGAAAGAAGCAAACTTGATATTGTCTTCCAAAGTTTCTTACTTGTTTGTGGCGAGTTTTGCAGTCCTTAGTATCCTAAGTAACATTTCTTAATTTACAATAATTCACCTACAGTTCCTTGTAAGTAATTTTTTAAAACAAATATGTATAATGTTCATATAAAAGTGAATCACCATGCAGACTTTCTTACCTAAAATAACTGTACTTATCATTTCTTGTTATGCGATTGTTTCTGAATAGGAAATGTGTTTAATTCATTGACTGGTTTCATTTTTCATTAAAGCAAGTCCAGTCAGTTCTTTCTGATTATTATATGTGATTTTACGAGCTTTTCAGCTGCATGTCATCGTATGTCTGGAATTCTTGAGTGTGATTTACCACACACCTGCAAAATTTATCCCAATAAGGCCTAATTATCTGGCTTGCATACTGTACACTAAGATGAAATGTGGCCCTTAAGGGTAAATGACTCTGACAGTCCTGTGAATGGCAGGCTCCACAAGAAGCATAAACCAAAGTGGATAGATGATTCACCCTATACATTATTTATTTCCCCTTCCTTTTCAGGTGCACCACACTCTCTGGCAGGAAAGTTTAATCGGTGTGCCTAGGAGAGACATGGTGATCATGGCCGCACGTGCTCTTGCAAGCCTTTACAAAGCCCGACTTCCACCAAACCATTAATATAGAACCCATCGTTATCAACATCAGTAGAAGTGGATGGAGAAAATTGCTTCAAGAAGCCTTCCTTCTTTTGTTTTGGATCTTCCCCTCCCCCCATAGGTTTCAAATAGGGTACTTAAGTATGACACTATTTTGGCACTAGCACATCTTTGGAATTACATTTACATTTGCACATTCTACATGTATCTTTCATTGTTCAGTGCTTCTGTAATTTTTCTTTTCCTTTTCTGAAATAGTGCCATCTTGTTGCTAGATTCTTTAATATTGCAAAAATTGAGTCTTAGTTATGTTGTAAACAGTTGGTTGATTCTGTCATATGTGCAATTTTTATATGATATAGTGTATAATCACTGTATGTAGCTAAAGCAAGGCATAATTGTGCTACCATCAGTATCTGTATGCGCCATGTGCATAAACTGGGTATTGGACGTATTTGTGAATTTCCATTACTGCCAATGAAGACTCAGTTTCCTATACAATTGATATAAATATATATTAACATATGTTCAGAAAATGCCATGAAATATGTAAAGGCTGTTGTGACCCTAATTGTAAAAGAAATAATGTGCATGCAAATTAGTCCAATACTTCATCAAACAAGGGAATCTTTCCTCAGAAAATACGATTGCATGTTATAATTGTTTCTTTTATAAATATATGTATTTGGTATGGATAGATTCAAGAGCAGTTTTATAGTTTCTGGATATGATATTGTAATACATCAGAAATCATTTCAGATTATTTAGTTATTTTAAAATCATGACCATTGTTTAGCTTGAGGTTCACTGTTTTGCAAGAAACATTGATTGTTCATGAGCATTAAGGATAGAATTCAATACATTTGTAGTTTTTTTCTGGCACTTTATTTTTTATTTATTTATTTATTTATATTTTTATTATTTATTTATTTATTTATTTTTTCAGTACCTCAGCTTTGCATAATTAGTGGGAAGAGAGTAAGATTTGCACTTTACACCTATTGGGTGAAAAGCGAGAATAAATGTTAATTGAAAAACTGTAAGGGAAGTGTCAAAAGTAATTGCACATGGTTGAGGGTAATTTTTACTAGCAAGTAAATGTAAATGAAACTGTCAAGTAAAAACAGATACTAAGCATTGTTTTTTTTATAGTTAAGACTTAACATGAAAAGTGCCTTTCTCAGTATTTAGTATTTTAAATATAAGATCTGCCAAGTGTAATATACAAGTTCTCCATAGCCGATATATTCTGTACTTCTCTTTTCATATCTCCCTCCCTTAGATATTCTTTCTAATATTATATTAGGAGTTGTGTTTACTTGCAAGATCTTTAAGCAGTCTTATATCATTATTAGCGATTTCATGAATTGTTGTTCTAAAAACTGAAACAAAACCTCTTTAGATGCAAATAGCCCTTTCCTCTGATATGATAAAAACTGTTGATCTGCTTCCTTTTTCAGTGTAGAATATTTGGAGAAATAATTTTCATGTTCAGATACTTTCCATTCTTTCTTTGTACATATGTTTATTTTCTGTATGTAGTGAAATTTTAAATAGGTGGCTTACTCTAAATATAGATTATTTTGACAAACTATGAAACAGGTTGATGAGCAAATCCCTCTATTTGTATAATATATCTTCTGGACTGAACTGATAATAAGCTATGCATCATTTGCATATGGTTTATGTGCATTTTACCATGATATTTTAAAATATCAAAAAAATTATATATTATGGAAATGCATGTTGCAGTTTTGCCAGTTAATTAGTATTTCATATTTAGGTTGTTTTAGAGTTGTTCATAGCATCTTTGCATGTGTGTACACTAACAAACATTTATGCCTACTCACACACAAAAAAACAAGAACATAGAAACAGACAGACATAATACATTTAGTGCTTTTGAGTTCATGATACTATTAATGCATACATACTTTTGAACTTGTATGCCCATATCCATAAAAATAAATAGAAGCATATACACATACAGACATAACATACTTTATTTTTGTGCATTTTCAATGTTGGAAGAGAAAACTCAACATATCTCTGGTAATTGGTTATTTATTATGTGGTTCCATGGAGTCTTAGCTTTATTATATTTTCACATGATAATAAAAAGTAAAAAACTTAAATGTGAATTTTTCATCCTGCTTTTGTATTCAAATTAATGATGGTACTCCTAACTGTATCTCCTTCTCCTTAACTTTATATAATGTTTCTATTTTTTACTTTTTTCACTTAGTCTCATCAAGCTCTATACTGTTCCAAACATTAAACATCTAGATTTAATTTGATTTAAACATTGTTTATGGACCTGTTCTCCCCATAATTATTCATAGTAAAAATAGTATATTTCTTCTCTCCCCATGCAACCTGGAGGTGGGAACCAGAGTATTACAGCAATCCACTCTTTGTTCATTACTATTTATTACAAAGACCTGCAAAATCATGGAGACACGCTAATGGACAAACTTTTACAAAAGCCAATTGTGACACAGTTTCAGTATGTGTCAAGCATTAACTTGCACAAAATTTCTTGGAGAGAACCCTCAATATTTTTTACCAGCTTCATGACACTCTCAGATGCCAGCTTATTTTTCAGCAGTCAGTTGTTGGTATTTATTACTGGAATATAAAAAATTAATTATTAATTAAGGTAATCAGATATGTTATATGCAAGATTAACTTTGCTCATAAAATATACACCTTCTAAAGGGTGCATAATTTGTTTATGTATGTGGAAGAAATTAAGGAAAAAATATATATATAAATAAGAATTGTCACTATTGTTCTGTTTTCACTGGATGCCAATAGTTGGCACCACTGCTCAATATGTTTACAAACTCCACAGAAACTCATTAACCCTTTAGTGATAGACATGCCTATAGCCTTCATGACATAATGATGTATGACATGGATACATGCCATGACTTGCTCTAGTCAGCAATTTTGTTTGGTCCTTTCTTCTCTTCTTTCCTCTTCTGTATCTTCTTTATTCCCTTCTTCTATCCCATTCCTAATGTGTGAGAGCCATGCTGAAAGGATAAAAGACTGGCTTTGTGTCAGTCACGAATGGCCTCCGGGAGCCATAGGCACGGTATTCCCTTGGTTAATTACCTTAGCCCTTACCCCTTATGGGGACCCAGAGGGGTAGACCATTTCTTCTTTCCCCAGTTTATTCAGGCTCACCATGGCCAGTAATCAAGATTCTTTAACCTTAATAGAGACATTAAGGCTTGCCCCTTCATCAAATAACCTATCTAAATTTGATTTTGATGGTTCTCCGACCCCTGCCCCTCCTTTTAGGGGACCGTCTGTTTTTATTTTTTGATTTTTTGATTTTTCAATTTTTCTTGCAGATTTTGATGAAACTCACATCCTTTTATTTGGGCCCCTTCCCATTGCCTGTGGTCGATTTTTTTCGAAATCGCCCGAACAGTTTTTGAATTATTGTCAAAAAACGAAAAAATGCGAAATTCACCATGTTGAAAATGAGGCACTTGGGTCAAAGAATTCCAACTTCAGAAACGGCAAGACATTCAATTTTATTTGATTTTTGCACAGAAATACCTTATATCTACAACTTGTTCAAGAGCGTTTTTTCGATTTCGAAAAAAAAAAAAGGTAAAAATTTTCTTACATTGACCACTTTTACAAGAAGTACAGGCAAAAATTGCGAAAACGCTCTCAAACAAGTTGCAGATATTTTATTTTTCTACAAAATGAGCTATAATATGTTAATTTTGGACATAAGTTGTGCCCAGAATCCTTTGACCCACCCCTAAAGGTAGAGTTCCGAGATATCGGCATTTTACGTTTCATCTTTCCAAGGCTATCTTGATATCAACAAAACAAGGCATAAGATTAGTCTTCCTACACCATAATCCTCTATCATCTACCTGCATTCCGAAATCTTGCGGACATTGCCGGCACGTAACGGTTTCTCAAAATCTTACGTATAGTGCGGAGTGGTGGCAGCGATCTGGGGGTCTATAGGCCTACATTGACCATTTTATAATTTCTAAAAAATCCCCCAAAAATCATACAGCCATTCTGATTTCATGTTTGAATAGAACTATCTTTCTACTATTATTTTGAGAAGTTGACCTTACTTTTTTCTTGGTGAATATTTTCCGAAGGTGACTTTTAACACCCTAATAGGAGATTTTGAAAACATATGTCACTTTTACAAGATCCACACGATAATATTGCAAATCCTCATGGCAGTATGTAATAGAACTATTATTCAGCTACAAAATGAGCCATAATACTTTAAAATCAGACCGAAATTACGTGTGCTATGCGTAAAAATATGATGGACCTAATAATCGCAATCTTATTCCTTTTTATTATGTTTACATTTTACATGACAAATCATGTACAGAATACTTGTATTTGATATAATTATCTATCATTTACCTATTATTGATGCTCTAATGGGGTTTTACAACGTATAATATTTGTCGAAAGAATAACTTTTCTCCAGCCTGACGGGTACCAAACGCATACTTTTCCCCGGGCCGTCCTGGACCATGAAAATCGTCTTTTTAAATCTGCGGAATAACTCTACGGGGTCATGTAGCCAAATTTCACTCTCAGACCCCATGGAAAGACGAAAAACAATTAATTACATGGCGATGTGAAAGTATGTATATAAGGTATATGAGCACATATAGATCATTTTCGTGTACCCCATGACCTTTTGTTTATCTATATTGTTACTTCCGTTTGTTTCTTTGTTTATTCGTTGATTGTTTATTTGTTGTTTTTTTGTTTGTTTGTTTGTGTTTTCTAATATTTCTAAAAGTTATGAACACATTTTAATGAGATTTTAACCAAAGATGAGTTTTAACCTAACTACGACTTATTGCAGTTTGGTGGTGATGCGGTCCATGGTTTGGATCCAGGATTTTTTTTTTCTAACTCGAAAAGTTATGAACAGATTTGAATAAAATTTTAACCTGAGGTTTGTCTTAGTCCAATCAATATTCCATAAAATTTTGGTGGTGATCCGGAACATTTGGCAAAACTACCCCCCATGGGTGGGTTGGGGGGAGGTTTGCATTTTCAAAATGTTTTGCTCATAGACCAAAGTAACTATGTATGATGAAAACATAAAGAAAAGAAAATACACCATATGAATAACATATGTTTAGTTATTTGTAAGGAATTTTCTTCATTGTCGTTTTTTGGACGCTTGCCGGATTTTTAAAATTATTCTGAAAAAAAGAAGGTTGGTCTCATCTTATGTGAAATTTAATAAGCTTTCAGAAAATAACCTCATATTTTTATTATCTGTAATCATTGCGTCACAATTGCCGATTTTCTAAAGTAACATTTAAAAAATCATATTTCAGTCGACATCGAAAATCGCTACCACCTAAAAAACAACGGTTGGGCCTTGAAATTTTCAGGGGAGAACCGGGGGCCTAGAAACTCCTTGAAAATGCATTAAAGTCAATTTCGGCAAGAGGGGTGAGAATCACCGAAAAATCACCAGAAGGTCCCCTTAACCTCCAGCTCCATCCACTGATGCTAATGCCCCCTCCTTGACGCTTACGCACAACACTAATCATTCTGAAACACCCACCCATGTTATTACTCAACCCCTAGAAAACATCTCTTCTTCATCCCCAGCATTCTCCTCTTCATCCCCTGCTGTCCAATCCTCTTCAATGTCAACCCACTCTTCCCTCATTATTACTCTTCATCTTTATTGTCCTCCCCCCCGCAGAACTACTCCACTCCACACCACCCCATCTTCCTCTTGCCCTTGTCCTTCAACTACCTCTACCTCTGCAAACCTTTTGAGTACTCTATTTGGCACAGCCAAGTGGGATTGATTCTTTGATTCCCCCACAGCCCCCTATTCTGAGAATACCCTACTCTTTCAGCAGTGCCTCCAGAAACAAGTAGGCAAGGTTACCTTTCACAGTCACTCTGATCATTCACGCCTTGTCACAGTTACATCTGAAGCCCAAGCTCGTGCACTATCTACCCTAACTGATCTTACTGGCAAACCCATTCCTGCCGAACCTCACCCAACTCTTAATACTTGTATGGGAACTTTTTCTATTCCATCATATGCTTGTCCCATGTATAACAAGGGCTGGTCAGACTGTGAAAATGAGCTACTTTCCTGCCTTGGTGAATATGATGCAGTGGCAGTACAGTGTTACACTCTTCCTCCTAGAGGCCAACATAAAACCCACATCAATATTGCCAAGATTAACTTCCATACACAAGACCTCCCCCATGAGGTTTATATTAGTGGATTGTCTTATTGTCCGACAATATTGACCCTTTCCTTAATGTCAAAAATGTTGGCATTTTGGCCACCCAGCCAAACATTGTCACTCCACAACCCGCTGCCCTCTATGTGCCCAACCTGGTCATGACCATTCAAATTGCCCTGCTCAGTCACGTATATGTGCCAATTGTGGAGACCCAAAATGTGTTTTATAGGAGCTGCACTGCCTATAAGTTTGAATGTGAGGTAGAAGTCCTCAGATTTAAACTAGGCCTCAATCTACGTGAAGCCAGACAAGAAGCATGACAACGAGGTTTTTCTCTCTCAACTTATTCCAAAACAGTCCTTCGCTCTGCACCCCAACCATATACACAAGATATTTCTACATTTTTCCCAAAACCTACGTCCTATGTCTATTCACCCTATCCACCAGTCAAATCCATTTTCCATCCTAAATCCAGATACTCCAAACTCTACCACTTCCCGAATACCTACCCCTCCTCCTCACTTTAGTTGTCGTACCAGGCAACCTAAACGTTCCACTCTACGCTCTCCTACTACATTCTCTCCTACACCTTCCTCAGATTTCCATCTCCTCTTCTCCTCCTTATAAGAGAACCTTTATTTCTCAGTCCTCTATACCAAATTCCCCTCCAGAAACCCTTGAAGACATCCAAAACTTCATAAAGATGACACAAGGGAACACTCCATTCCCTCATCCACCTCCCAATCCCTGTTCCTACTCCTGCTACATTTAAAGTATTTGCAGATATTCACCCTCCTCCTTCCCAAGTTCCCTCCACCCCCCCTTCCTCCTACACCCTCTCAACATACCCCACCCTCTCTACCACTTCCACTTGAATACTCTCACGAATCCTCTTTGTCACAACAGTGTCCTCCTCCAGACTTTTTTCCTGATGCTTCATCACCTTCCCCTGTCCCCCTTTCTCAACCCCTGGATTCTTCTCCTCCTTCTCCAAGTCACCTCTGTTTTCCTTGATCAATGTCCCTACTCCTTCCCCAGTCACAGATACAGTACAATTCACTCAGTTGCTCTATCCCCTTATATTCCCCCAACCCCTTCCCAAAATACCTCATACTCTCAACCACCCAAACCATCCTTCCCTATTATCCCTCCCACTCCCTCCTGGATACACACATGAATCTCTATTATCACAGTACCCTTCCCCGGACCCCATCATCCCTATTGAACCCCAGACACTATTCCTTCACCTACTCCTGATCCCTTATCTCAACCCTCAGATACCTAATCCCCTACTACTAAGACAACCATATCTATTGTTATCACCAATTATCCCTATTCCTTCCCCAGTCACAGATGCAATGCAATTAATTTAATTGCTCTATCTCTATTCTTCCTTGAACATGTTTCCTATACCTTCCCCAGTGACAGATACACTGTAATTCACTCAATCGCCCTCCCCTCCCCTTTATACTAATTTCTGCTCTAATTCACTTATTCCCCTATTCCCCCTTTTCGCTACCCTACTATCCTATAACGTTATTAAACCTTTGACATCCAACTCATTTTATCATAATCTTTAACTCTCCTTTGCCCTTTCTGCCGTAATACTTTACCATAGTGCTACATGACCTTTGATGTCTAGCACATTTATTTTCAAACATTAATTAATTAATTTGACTAGTGGCTTTGGAGTGACCCATTACCCTTTTTTGAGGGAAGGATGAAAGAAGAGAAGATGGGAGAAGAAAGGAAAGAGAGAGGACACACATTCATTTATGCAAAATCCAGGTAATAAGCTCTATTGTCATTAAGTACTTACAATACTGCACTTTGATCTAGTTCCCATTCTGCTAATAGTATCCTGCCATCCACATTTACAGTCGATACTCAATGTGACATGAAATGTCATGTGATTATTGAAATGAGACCCCCTATACCTCCCAAAGAGAAGGTGCAAATCCTGCTCCTCATTTGAGCTTTCAGTATCTTTACATCCCTTACACTCTGCAAAAGTTCCACCATTTACATCTTACCTCTGTTTCCCATGGCTTCCATTTACTGTATGGCCACATCTGGTTGTATATAAGTCACCTTTAACTTCATGGCTCTTCTCATTCCTGCTGTCCATAGTAATGGTTAATGGTTAATGGTTAAGATAAATGTGCTAGACATCTAAGGTCATATAGCACTATAGGAAAATATAGTAAAGGGGGATGTCAGGTGATAGTTGTTATGTGTCAACTATCTAGAATAGTGTTGAGAGGTTGAAGATGAGGGAAAAGATTATGGTGGTTTAGGTAAGGGAGTTAGATCAAGTGAAGGATATTTATGTGTCTGAGGAAGGAGAACAGGTTGTCGAGGCAGAAGCTGTGAGATTCTGTAAGGATGTCTGATATGTTGGGAGGTCGGTGAAGGGAGGATAGGTGTGGAAAAGCAGAGGTACGTGCTGTATTAAAGCATGGACAGGACAAGAGAATGTGTGGGACTGAAAGAGGGATGTTACATAGAGGACATAGGGGCGGGTCTGAGCGTGACATCAGATAGGCATGTGTTATACGTGCAAGAATATCCGCCGGTTCATTGCCAGGGATTACAACATGGCTGGGTACCCAGCAAAATCTGACAGATTTGTGACGTGTGGATAGATAGAACAACCAGTTCTGGATCTTACAGACAAGGGGATTGGTCGAGTGCATTGACTTTATGAGGGTTAAAGAATTACAGGAGTCAGTAAAAATAGTAAAAGAGGAAGAGGTGGATGAATATATGCATCTTAAGGCAAAAAGGAGTGCATACAGTTCTGTAGTAAGGACACTAGATTCAGGAGGGAGGGTGTATTTGAAAGTGCAATTTGGGAATGTTACTGCGAATCCAGCTCCTGAGATGGATTTGGAACCGTCAGTGTAAACATGAATGCTGGGGGAATGAATGGAGACATGGTCAAGGAAATGAGTGAGAAGGATAGAGGGGGGAATATCTGATTTTGGTGGGTCAGGGAAAACTGAGGAGCAAATACAGGGGTTAGGTACAAGCCATGGAGGAATGGAATGGACAGACAGTGGGAGAGGTCGGAGATGAGGGAAGGGGGAATGGGAGAGGAGGGTATCCATGCGTACGGGGAGAGGAGTTGGTAAACGTGGAGAAGAGGTAAAGGTATGAAGTAAGGATTGTGGAATAGTTAGTTTGGTAAGGGAAAATTGATGAAATCAAGCATAGCATCGGAGAGAGATAAGGGCTCGACGTTGAGAGAGGGACGGCATGCCTGATTCAGTATATAGGCTCTCAACTGGAGAGGAGCGGAAGGCGCCTAGCGCTAAGCGGAGACCGCTGTGGTGGATTGTATCAAGGTGAGCAAGAAGAGAGGTTGAGGCAGAGGAGCAGATATGGCATCCATAATCTAGAGTGGAGAGAATCAAAGTAACATGAATATGGAGGAGAGTCTTGCGATCTAAGCCCCAGGAGATATGTGAAAGAGTTTGTTGCTTTTTCTTTGATATACAAGATATGGTCTCGCCAGGACAATTTGGAATCAAATATAACGCCTAGGAATTTGCCAGAAGACTGGTATTGGAGTGGAGCATTATATAAGAGAGGGGTTTGGGGACCGTACGTGAGCGAGAGAAAAGGATGGGGAAAGATTTAGAGGTAGAGAAGCGAAAGCCATGGTTGGTGGCCCAAGAAGTTACTGATGTTATTGCAGACTGAAGGAATTGACAAAGATCTGGTATGGATGTGCCAGATGCATAGATGGTTAAGTCATCAACATATAGTGATGCTCTAGCTCCTGGTGGTTGGACTGAGACTATGTCATTTACAGCAAGAAGGAATAAAGTGGTACTAAGCACACTTCCTTGTGGGACGCCTTCGAATTGAGGAAAGGATGATGAAGTGGAAGAGGCAATCTTGACCTGGAAAGTACGTTTAGAACGGAAGGATTTAATGAAAACACCCATGTTTCCATGTAAACCTAGGGAGGACAATTGTTGGAGGATATGGTATCGCCATGTGGTGTCATATACTTTTTCTAGATCAAAGAAAATGGCTAATACGGATTCATGGCGTGCAAATGCCGATGTAATGTACGTCTCGAAATGGGCAAGTGGGTCTGCTGTACTTCGGGCACGTCGGAACTGGGAAGGGGAAAGGAGATTATGAGATTCTAGGTACCACATTAAACGGAAGTTAACCATACGTTCTAGTAGTTTGCACAAGCAGCTAGTTAGAGCTATGGGGCGGTAATCTTGGGGTAGGGTACCTGATTTATTGGGTTTTAAGAAAGGTAGGATGAGAGCATCTCGCTAATGAGAAGGAAAATTTCCTGACGTCCATATGTGGTTGAAAATAGTTAAAAGGAAGGATAGAGAGGAAGATGGGAGGTGTCGGAGCATACGATAGTGAATACCATCAGGTCCTTCATGAGTGTTGCGGCACGACTGTAATGCACCGTTGAGTTCAGAAGAAGAAAAAGGAGCATTATAGGACTCATCAGAGGATAGGGTGAAGGTAATAGGGGTGCATTCCTTGATGGTTTTAATGGAAGAAAAGTGTGGGGAAAGGTGAGAGCCACTACTGACCTGGCTGAAATAGTTGCCCAGTTCATTAGCTACTTCGACAGGCTCAGAGATGAGAATATCTCGAATATGGAGGACGGGTGCAGGATGGGGGGGATGTTTGCCTGATAGTTTATGGATCCGTCGCCAAACAGCTGAAATAGATGTAGAAGATGTAATTGAGGAAACATAATTTTGCCAGCTATTTGTTTTGCTGTTTTTAATTGTACGGCGAAGATGGAGATGCTCTTTTAAAGGAAATAAGGGCTGATAGCTGGTGAGGGGTGCCTCGTTTGTAGCGATAGCTGTTCCAGGCTGCTCGTTTTAAGCGGAGCGCTTTTGTGCAATCAGAATTCCACCATGGAACACATTTAGAAGTATAGGGTCTTGAAGTTCGAGGAATGGCTGTATAGGCAGCTCTTAGGATCGTGGTTGTAAAACAATGTAGCATATGTAGCATATGGACGGTAAGGGGGGTGGAGGGATAGGTATAGTAGAGAGTGAAGTGAAAGTATGCCAGTCAGCTCTATCAAAGCACCAGCGTGGAGGATTAGGAAGTGGTACATATGAAGTAGGAGAAAGGAGTATTGGGAAGTGGTCACTATAGGGGAAGTGGTCTAGAACTGACCAATGGAAATCTAAATGTAAAGTAGGAGAGCATAGAGAGAGGTCAAGGCATGAAAAGGATTGTGTGCGCATGTCAAAGTGTGTGGGGCGATCTGAATTAAGAATAATTAGGTTATTTGTGAAGAGGAAGCGTTCTAGAGATCGGCCTCGGGAGTTAGTGGTAGAGTCATCCCACAGAGTGTGGCGGCAGTTGAAATCACCAACTATGAGGAAAGGTGGTTGGAGTTGGGAAATTAGAGTCTCAAAGGCAGTAAAGTCAATGAGATGGGATGGGGAGAAGTAGACTGAAATCACTGTGATCCAGCGGCGAAGAAAGATGCGAATAGCTGTGCACGGGACAGAAGTTTGTATGGGAGGTATGACATAAGGTGATTTATGATGGATAAGTATAGAAGAGACATAAAGGGAGTGTGGGGAAGAGATAAAATGGTAATTGGGAATTGGAATAGGATGGTGTGTGAGGAAAGTCTCTTGGAGGCAGATAATAGATGGATTATAAGAAGCACGAATATGACGTAGGTCTGATCTATGAGAGCAGAAACCGCGAATATTCCAATGTAGGAGAGCTATATCCTAGTTGATTTATCAATGATAACACATGTACGTGTTGGGGAATTTAAAGGGGAAGGAGCTTGGGGGTGTAAAGGAGGGATATTAGGAGGTAGGGAATCTGGAGAAGGGCATTGTTGTGCCATGAGTGATTCTCGTGTGTATCCGGGAGGGAGTGCAAAGGATAGAGGGGATGGAGGGAGGGAGAATGTGCCTATAGTTGGGGTTGAAGGGGGTGGGTTGTGTTGGGAGGGAGTAGATGTGTGGGGAGTATTAGTGTTAGGAGGATGAATATCGGAAGGATGGATAGTTGGAGTTGAAGGGGATGTGTTGTCTTGGGAGGGATTAGGAGGAAAGGGTGTAGGGGTGCTGTGAGTAAGAGGGGATGCATATCAGGAGGATGGGTATTGGGAGGATGGATATCAGTGGTGGATGGGATTGAGGGGGTTAGGTTGTGTTGAGAGGGAGTAGGAGGAAGGGGTGTAGGGGGAATATTAGTAGGAGGGGTATGAATATCGGCAACCACTTCAAGTGTGGAAGGAGCATGAGTTATGGGATCTTGTGTCTCAAGCATATAGCTTTGAATGTCATCCATTGTTTCTGCAGTGGAGTTTGTTGGAGAGTTTTGTGAGAAGGTAATTGTTTCTGCAATGGAATTGGTTGGAGAGTTTTGTGGAATAAAGGTTTTCTTATGAGGGGGGGAAGAGGAGACTGGTGTCTCAGGAACAAAGGTATAGGTAGGTGGAGGTGATTGTGCTGTAGGGGAAGAAGGGTTAGAACGTTTAGTCTGTCTACTGCGCGCGGGGAGGGAGAGGGGTTGGTGTTGGGGCTGTAGTTGAGATAGGAGCTGTGGTTGAGATTGGGGTGTCTGGGTTTAGAGTAGCAAAGGAATTGGTCTGAGGGATGTAGAATGTAGAAGTGGAAATGGGGACATTTTGGGGTGGAGGGGGAAGGGCTGAGCGAAAGATGTTGCTAGAATATGGAGTATGAGAGAAACCTTGTCGACGTGCTTCCTGTCTGGCTTCACGTAAAGTGAGACCATTTTTGTATCTGAGAGTTGCTACCTTAGATTCAAACTTGTAAGTGGGACAGCCTCTATAAAATACATTATGGGGGCCGCCGCAGTTAGCAAATGTTCGTGTTTGTGCTGAGCAATTTGATCGATTATGACCAGGTTGGGCACATATGGGGCATCGGTCTGTGGAACGGCAATGTTTGGCAGGATGTCCAAAGCACCAACAGTTTTGACATTGACGGGGAGGGGGTTGGTATGGTCGAACAGGGAGGGATTGTCCACCAATGTAGATATGTAAGGGAAAGTCATGTGTACGGAAGGTAATTTTGGCAATATTGGTCGGATTCTTTCGTTGACCTTTAGGAGGAATGGTGTAGCAATGTACTGATTTCACATCTTGGTCTTTGAGGCATCCTAATAAGTCTTCTCCACAGTCTGACCAATCTTTGGTATCGACTGGGCAGTTTGCTGGGGAGAGAGAGACAGTTCCGGTACAGGTATTAAGGGTTGGATGAGGTTCTGTAGGAATGGGGTTGCCAGAATGATCAGTTAAATTTGATAGTGCTATAGATTCAGTTTCTGATCTGACTGTTACCAGCCGGGAGCGATCGCGTCTGGTATAAAAAGGGACTCTGCCTACTTGTTTTTGGAGGCATTGTTGAAAGAGAAGAGTGTTGCCTGAGAAAGGAGCTGTAGCAGGGATTATGAAAAATCGGTCCCATTTAGCTGGGCTAAACAGAGTATTTAAGATATCTGTAGGGTTGGTGGTGGTGGATGGTCGGGGACGTGTGGAAGAGGGAGTATTACGGAATGATGGAGAATAAGGTTGCAAGGTAGTAATAAGGGAGGATTGGTTGTTTGATGAAGGTTGCAGGGGTGGAGTTGAATTTGAGGAAGTTGGGTGGGTAGGAATGTCTTCTGGAGATTGATTCTCTGCTTGGGTGGGTAATGCACTAGTAGGCATTGAGGAGTGGGCAGTAGTTTCAGTGTTCGGAGACATGGTGAAAGGAGAGCCTGGGTTGGGGTTATTTGATAAAGGGGCTAGCCTCATAGCCTCTAATAAAGGGATTACATTTTCATTACTGGTCATGGGGAACCTGGATTATGTAAATAGGCCTAATCGGTCCAACTCCTTTCGCTACTGAAGGTAAGGGCTAGATTAGTCAGGAGTACCATGCCCATAGTTCCCGCAGGCCGTTCAGGACTGGCACTAGGTCAGCCTTTCATCCTCTCAGCACGGCTCTCACACCTTAGGAAGTAGATAGCAGAAGGGGATGGAGAAGAGACGGAAACAAAAGCTGGAGAGGAAAAAGACCATGCAAAATTAGTTGAGTCGAGGGCTGAGGCCCTATGCAGGGGAGATCCCTGTATTGGGTCTCAGTCTTCGTCTCCTAAGCCCCCCCACGACAACAACGGGCAAGGGATTGGGGGGGCTGTCCATTCTATATATACTGCCTTTCCTGCTCTTTCCTATACAATATATACATATTTTTCCCCATTCACTGAAAGCTGTATCAACCAAAAGAGCAGGCAATTCTATAGGATGAATATGCTTGAAGTTATTATTGCCATCTAGGACAATCTTGCTACTTAATAAAATATGTTAGCAAGTGCATCACTGAAGATTACATGCCAGTTTGCTGACTATTTAAGAATCACAAGTTGTTGTTTATTTGTAAAAATATTTGACTGACAGGTGTTCGAGTTGTAACATACTATGGGACTTCATACTATTAAAAATAACAAGAGAAAAAGTGAGAATCATTCTCAGTGAAAAGGAATTCCAAGATAGGTTATTGTGCATATACAAAACACTGAAACATAAATATGCACAAATACTCAACAATCATGAAAGCAAATCTCATAATTTACTGCTTCATAAAATAAATGTACATGGTAATTTTTATTGATCACATTGAAATAAATGAGATACAGAGGCTTGCACCACAGCAAAAAATCAACTGGTATAAACTTACACAGAATCAATAAGCAAGTAACTACCAATAATATTTACATTTAGAATAAAGTTTAAAAACTAATGAAACAAAAGGTAAAAACTTACACTCCAGAAACATGTTTAATGACATCTGCCCACCATTCCTGATTAACATCTTGATTCCCTATCACACAAAGCTTCAAGTTGCAGAATTTCTTCAGCTGAGGATATTCACTGAGAGGGATATTATCTGGGAGTGCAAGGACAATGCATATGTCCTTGATAGATTTATAGATGTTGTCCAGACTGCAGCTAAGTGAATTTAAAGCTGCAATGGTTGACACCTGAATTTTAATAGACTTCAAATTCATGCAGTATCTTAGAACTTCTTTCCCTCTCTCAGAGTTTCCAATGCTACCTGTAAAATTAGTCAGATGACCCCAAGGATACAGAGTCTGTAGAAACTCATCTGATGGCCTGTCATGCCGTTCTTCATAGTGATGCCAAAAATGGAGTTCAACTGAAATTGGATGTGTCTTATCATGACGATTTTCTATTTCTTTCCTAAGCCCCTTCATCAGATCTAGAAAGAATTTAATACTGTATGGATCAATATCTGAAGATATATCAATTATAAGACATTTTAGGACCACTGGTGTATAACTTAAAAGTCTAAGACCTGAAACTACTTGCTCAGCATTCAGAACCCACTCATCCTGTGGTAGTTTCTCACTAGCAATCTTCATACCCAACATCTCATTGTGTTGTGATTCAATATATATATTCCACCAGTAGTTGTAGTTGTCCTTTTGCACTGTTGCAGAATCAAACAGGTCTAGAAGGCATGGCATATTGGAGTGAAGTAGGTCTGATTCATGCTGGCTGCAAAGCACAAGGTGCCCTACTAGATAGCCTAAGAAGTTTTGGTAATTATGTATGTATCTAATTTCCTCCTGAACGTCTTCTAGTTTCTTTTCTTTTTGTCTGATTTTCATGGCTAAGAATCCTGCAGCAAGGTATTCTAGTTGATTATTATGCAGAAATTCAAATACAACTTTTTCAGAATTCCGATCTTCATCCACTTGGCACATGAAGAAAGCAGACAAAAACTCCTGAACATTTATATTCATCTCGTTACATTTATCTTTAATCATAGCATAGGATTTTTTGTCAAGTGTGCTTTCCTCCTCTAGGAACATATCCCATGCCTTATTCCCAAAAAACAGTATCAAAATCTCAATTTTTTCTCTAAGTTCATTACCACTAATGTCACTTGCTTGCTTCAGACGTCTGGCCAATTCACTCTGCCAGTGTTTGAAGAATTCCATATACAGTGTTGTGGCAGATGTGATCCTATTAAATACTTTCCTATCTTCTTTCCAGAAATAGCACAGCATGGCAAGGTTAAGAGGCCACCTCAGGTGTTCCTGGAAGATTTGACTCTGCTTAAATTTTAAGAGTTTTGATGAAAATAAACCAATGAGCTTCTTGCACTTACTTTCATCTGTCTCTAATGCTCTAAAGACCTTTTCAGTATAAAGTTTCTGTTGTTTATGATCAAATCCTTTTACTTCTATAAAATGACAGCTTACAAAATATCTATTAGCTAAGAATGTAACAGGTTCTTGATAATCTGGTCTTATTGTCATAATGATATGCTGGTCACCAAATCTGCTAAAAATATCTTCTACTAGCTGTCTAGCAGCACTGCCACACTCATCAAATCCATCAATGATAAATAAGAGTTTTAAGCATTTTAATATCATTATGATATCATTTGAGTTAAATTTTTTGCATGTTTCTTCAAACATTTTATGTGTTTGTAAAAACTCAACTATATCATTCTTTGTGACAATTCTTGTTTCAATAAAAAACACTAAATCAAAATCACTAACTTTATCAATTTCATCTCCCTGCTTGCACCAAACATGAATCAAATAATGTAAGAGAGAGGTCTTCCCAGAACCTGGCACACCCATGAGGACAAATACAGTTGGTACATTTTCTGATCCATTACTTTCTGTTGATACTGTTAAAAGGTCTTTTATATCTTTTATTGCTACATTTCCTTCAAGTTTCAACTGTAGAGGTGTGAAAAGACTTCGAATACAGAAACTTTGCGCTTTCCCATCTTTAAAATTGTTGTAATCTGCTTCACATATCCAAACACAAGGATTTAGCAACTGCAAATTTCCATAATATGACCTCTGCTCTTTTTGTCCAGCATCAACCATGTCTGAAATTTTGTTTTTCCTGCATTCTTCTATTATTTCTGTGTATGTTGTCATATCATCTTGTCTTAATTGTGCATTCAGAATTGCTGTTAGGCTATCATTCATGTCAGAAATACTTTTGGAAAAATCTTGGCTTAAAACTTTCCCAAATCCTTCATAAATATCCTCATATATTTGCCTCAGTTCATTTACACGATCTTCCAAAATCCCTCTTATAGACATATCACCATGGGACAACTGATTTCTCAGGAACTTCAACTGATCGATCTGTTTTTGACACTTTTCATTCAACTGAGTATAGACATGAAACAGCATTTTATCTATTATTCTGAGAGTGAATTTGAGATCAAAATCAGCTTTCCGCATGTCTTTATCCATTTCCGGTAAATCTGACTTAAAAATGTGGTGCTTTATATAATTTTTTGACCATTTCAGCTTAATGAGGCAGTAATCCTTTACTGTGATACAACCTTCCTCAAAGTCCTCCTTCTCACATATGGCTCTCAGGATCTCAATCATCACTCTCTGGCCTATATCAATTACACATTTGTAAAGTTTACTGAAGTGCAGATTCTCCTCGGTAAAGTATTTTGGCAGCCTTGGAGGTGGTAAACCTGGTATGGCCATCACACAAACACTGAAAGCAAAGTGAGGTGACATGTATTTATACGTCAAATTTTAATCTGGTGTCTTCTCATCAACATCCTGAAAGTAATTGTAAACCATTTTAATGTGCAAAGTCAATATATATAAATATAAATTTTATATATATATATATATAATATATATATATATATATATATATATAATATATATATATAATATACATATACATATATAAATATAATATTATATATATAATTATATATAATATAATATATAATATATATATATATTTATAATACTATATACTTATTATATATAATACAATATAATATATGTATATATCGTATATATATAGCATATACATATATTGATATATATCATATATATATATATAGCAATATATAATATATATATATAAATATATAGATATATATAATATATATATAAGTATATATATACATAGTATATATATATATTATATATATAAATATATATAATATATATATATCTTATATATATAGTATATATATATATATATATGATATAGTATATATATATATATGTGATGGATACATATATAGCATATATATATATATAAGTAAATATATATATATATATATACGATATTATATAGTATATATATATATTAATATATATATATATATAATATATTATAGTATATATTGTTCAATATATATATATATATATGATATATATATATACATATATAATATACATATATATATATATATATATATATAATACTGATATAGTTATAATATTATATAATAGTACATATTTTATATATATAAATATATATATATATAAATATATATAATAATATATATTACAAATATCTCATATATAGATACATATATATACTATAATAATATATATATATTGTATATATATATATTCATACTAGTAATATATATTAGTAATACTACTATATAGAATTATATTGATATATATACTATATTATATGATATAGATATAATAATAATACTATATATATATATAGTATTTTATAATATACTAATATGAAATATATAATGTTATATATTGATATGTAGCTACTATATGATTTTATAATATATATTTTTATATAACTAAATCATACTATATATATAGTATTTATATTTCTATATTATATATTAATAATATATATATACATATTTTTAATATATATATAGAAATATGTATATATATATCGTATATATACATACTATACGCTTACTAACTATATATAATATATATCGATATGCGCATGTGATATATATATATATATAATATATATATAATGAGTATATATGATATAAATATATAATATGGTATTTATTATATATATATACTATATAATACGTACGTAATATAAATATATAATATGTATACATATATATATATACTATTATATATGATATATATACAATATATATATGTATATAATATATATCTATATATATATAGTATATATATTATATAAAATATGTAATAATATCATATATAATAAAATATGTATATAATATAAAATGATGTAATATATATATAAAAATAATGTATACGTATATATAGATAATGTAGTATAATAGGGTTGCATATATAATAGCTATATAATATATATGATATATACTAGTTATGTAGTATATAGATATAGCTATATATATACTATATATTGTTATATATATACACTTATTTTATATATATATATATGATACATAGTTGATATACTATATATATACATATATAGTATACATAATATATAGTATTAAACATATATATACTATGTATCATATATATATAATATACTATATATATATGATATATCATTAATAGTTATATATATATTGTGTGTGTATATGTATAATGGTATTAGTATATATGTATAATATAATATATAGTACATATTACTATTTGAATGATATATATATACTATAGATATATTGCTAGAATATATACCTATATATATACGTGATTATATATGTATATATATTACTATGTATATATAGGTAATATATATATATACTATATATATATATACATATAGTATATCTAGTATATATAACACAGGCACACAGTATATATACATATGTGTTATATGATATAAGTACATACATAGTATACTATATTATTAATATTATATGATATATACACCAGTATCGATATTCATATTATAGTAGTATAATCTAATGTATAGTATGAGTTAATATATATTTATACATTATAGTATACTACATATCTTATAAAATATACATGATTTTTAATGATATAGGATGTATATTAGCATCACTTTATATCTAATATACATATTAATATATATAATATATATTAGTATAGTATATAAATATAGTATAATAAATATAGTAGTATATTATATATATATATATAGTGTAACTATAGTGTATAAAGAGCTTATATATATATATGTATATATGTATAGGTACTGACGTCAGTAGATACTAGGATATATAGCTCTACATAATAAGATAGATAAGTAAGTTATAGTATGGGTATAGCGAGTACGTATGATTAATGAATTAAATTGATAATATTATATGTAATATAGTGATATAAGTATAGATCGAAGTAATGTAATATAGAGTATATATAGTGTAATATATTAGTAGGAGGTAATATATATTAATTTATAAATTATATTGATATATAACAGTATACTAACGGTTGATAGTGATGATATTTATAATAGTCAGTAACCAATATAGAGAGGGAATGCACGTCATCACTAGGGTAATTGGTGAGGTATGGGGTAATGAGACTATGACTGTCATCAGTTCGTGGCCGATGCAAAAAGCGTGATATCAGGGAGTATATATATTATAAGTATAAATATATTATATAATAGGTAATATATATCAATATATATATAATATTATAAATGAAATACGTGATATAGTAGCAGAATATTTCTATATATATATAACAATATATATATATAATATATATATATATATATAAATAATAGTATTACTAAGCTATATATATATATATAATAAAGAAGTATAGTATACTAGTTACTATATAAATATAGTATAGTATAGGTAAATATATATATCTATATATATATAGTATAATATACAATACACAAATATATACGCGGATATGCATACCACTATACTATATATATATATACGTATATAGTTCTATAGGTATATTATATATATGTGAAGTTATAATATAGTAGTGAATATTTATATATATAAATATTTATATATATATAATATAGTAGATATCAGAATACTAAATATTATATAAATATATATATAGTAGCATATGAGCTGAGGTATAAAGATATATATAGATAATACACATTTTTCATATAGTCTATAAGTATCTATTTAGTGCTAATTCTATGCGTAATCTATATAATAGTATCATATATACCATATGATAGTTAAGGGTACAGTAGTATCAGTATATAGGTACCAGTTATAGAAGGTATGAGTATATATATAAGAGTATTATATATATACATACATACTATTACATATATACTATACATATAATATATACATATTTTATAGATATAAATATATATATATATATATTGTAAAATCATATAATATATATACATATTATATATATACATTATATAGATACATATATAATATATATATATAATGAGTAATGTAATATAAGCATATTATATATCTCCTATATTATATGTATATATATGTATATATATATGTACATATATATTTATAATTACATTTATATATATAATATATATAAATATATATTTATATATAAATTGATATTATTATATATATTCATATATACATTATATACCTATATATGGTAGTTATATATATAATATATATAACATATCAAAGTGAGTGAGAAATAGGAGATAACGTCAGTTGTAACAATAGTACTGACACACGTCTAGTACGTAATTGTTGAGCATATATATGTGAGTGGGCAGATAGCAGTCAAACATAGTTATAAGCGGTGCAATGAGAGCTAAAGTAACCGTCAAATGTAAATGCATGAGTATGAATAGTAATAGGGTGGGACCTAGAGTATAGGTAATCTTCAGGTAGTGGACATTAGGGGATGTAGTGCGCGTAGCATGATATGGTCAGTGGTGGCAGTGAGTAGTAGGCGATTATTCATGGATGGGACGCGTAGAGTATATACTATATAGACCGTGCGCGTAGGCAGAGGAGGCGGGTGAGTACAGCTAGCTGTCAGTAGTCAATGTATCACGATGATATTCAGGCGTCCTCCTTGGCCTTATGGCGTCAGTAGAGCTAGTGTGTGTCGCGAGTATATATTGGGTTCAGAGTACCATCATACTAGCTAGTGCGATCTATGTCTGGGTGTTAGGTATAGTGATAATAGTAATATAGTAGCATATGCATAATACACTAAGTCACAGACCGCCTATAGTAGAACGATGTAATAGTGAATATACGGGTGGAGTAGTACTATGGCCTGGTTAGGTGTATAGGCTAAGCTAGTGTGTTAGGGAATGTGAGTGGGCTAGATAGCTCATATCTAGTATTAGTATAGTAAGTAGGTAAGTTACAAGCGAGCGACGGAATTGCCAAGGCCTACATATTATAGTTGAACTACTACTATCTAGTGACGGGCGTAGTTTAATATATATTAATATGTATATTATATGAAAATGATCGTATTATATATATACATAGTGTAGATATATATATATATATGTAATATATAATAAATCATAGTCATATATATTTTTATATATATATAAGCCCATATTTATATATATAGTACAGTATTACTATATATATAACTATATATATATATATACTCTATATATGATAGTATATACATAGTATATATATCATACTATAGTCATATATAAATATCATATATATCTAATAATATAATATTAATGTGTGGTGTACTATGGATGTAGTATATCATATATGTGTATAGTATAAATATATATATCATATATATATATATAACTATATATATGTATAATATATATATTGTATAAGTATATAGTGGTAATATATATAATATATAATAATATT